CAGTTATCCCGACCCAGTTATCTCTACCTTTTAGGATCACTCTACCTTCTTTTTGTTGAGCCCCTTTGAAACCCTGTCACTCCTTGACCTCGTTGATATCACCTTGACGGCCCGATGCCGATGAGCTGCCGCCCATTTGGGATACGACGATTTGTCCTCGGCTCTTTGGCCCGGACGTGCTTTGATGCATTGAGATATCCCCGTCAAGATGATTTAGGTTAGTCCGTGGGCCCCGTGTGCTGATTAGCCACTAACCATTTGGGATGTGAGAGACTTACTCTCTATCCGATAGCTTAGCGTGAGCTTTAAAGTATTGAGACTGTTCCCACACGGAATAACCTTTATTTGATTACCCATACCCCAGATCTATGATAATATGAAACGAAACTCCTTTTATCAAGAGTATTCTTGGGTATCCCCCAAGATGTAATTAACCAGTAGGAACACGTTCCTCTGGGAGTCCTCTTGACCCCGTAACAGGTACATACACCTGACTCTCTGGTTATGAGTAGTCTATGTAGATACTTCTTTCGCGGATATTGGTTTAAGGTGCCTCCGCTTGATCTTGTTTGGGCGGACATTCTTGACATATCCTTGCGAGGTTTATCGCACGTAGACCCTCCACGTTTTACTTTTTCTCTTGTTTGTCTCTTTGTCGTATGTGCCTTCTTATTTGATTCCTTTCCTCTTCGAATCATTTATATGGTTCAGGAGGGAGATTTATTCGAATGGGGGAAGTATATGACGATCGACAAGCTGACGACTCTTTTTAAAAATAGAAAAGAGAAAAATGAACGGAAACAATGGGAACTCTCAATTTGAAGTGGTTATATGAAGGAAGAAAGAAACTTTGCATTTAGAAAGCTGGCAATTTTTTTTTTAAGAAAACCTAGAATATGTTAGTGTGCTTCCAATTCCAAAGAAATAGTTGCTTTAGGACAAACTATTGATCATTTTGGGATTAACCACAAGAAGTATCATAGCTGTCCTGTGCTAGAACATTGGAGCAGCTTATGCACTTCGGTCGTGAATTCGCTCCGTTGGGTTAGTGCTGGTTCTAGATTTGACAAGTCTTAACCTAATAATTTAACTTGGTTCCGAGATCTGGAATTTGTTTGACCCAATTCTGAATTGCTCTGCGAATGTCTGAGCAAAATTCCATTTTAACTATTGAGGTTTGAGGCCCAGGATGAATGAAGTTTTGACAAGTCTTACCTAATAATTAAGAAATTTTTTTTAAATTTGCAGTGTTATATCTATCTGAATGGTGGCTTTGAAAAATTATATTGATACAAAGTTGATTGTGCATAAACTTACCTTAAAATGGATTTGTGATAAAATTAGAAATGATAAATTAATGGCTGATTATATTGATGTTTGAAGTATTATTTATCAAGAATTAGGTGAATGGAAAAGGACTTGGTCGATTTGGATATGTAACAACGGGTAAGATGCTCTAGATAGATGAGTTGGTAAAATTAATATTAAGGAATTAGGAGGTCGAATGGTTAAACTTGTGATACATGAAGATAATTATTCAAAATGATTTATGAAGCATAAGTTCAATACCTATGACAAAATTTAACATGAATAAATGACAATTGAAGATTCATCATGCCAAACATATAGCCGAGATAAGACTAATGATGATAAGACATTATAACAAACCAAAATTTATCGATTTTATTTCAATTTCAAATGACCAACTTAATGGATTGATGCTATTAAGTTTTGTATGTGCAAATTTGATATTCATTTACCTGACATTATTAACTGTGAATTACTGATGATTGCAGCTAATTCGAATGCCCAAAAGGTTAGCAGCGAGCTTCTTCGGATCTTTGTCACAGGTAAGATTGAAATCAATTTAGATAAAGTTCTTTTTAATATTTTATTTTGTAAAGCCTGTGTTGGTATTAAGTTTGTCACTGCAAATATTTTTTATTTCATCCATAGAGGCTGTCCAACGAGCTGCAATTATCACTGAAGCAGAGGGCAACCATAAAATTGAAGCCACCCATTTAGAGAGAATACTCCCACAACTGCTATTAGATTTCTGACCATGCTTAAAGATCTGCAGTAGTAAGTTGGCAGTCCTTCCGAATGTATTTTGTATCAGGACAATTTCCGAATTGGCCATTCACACCTCAATGAAAGTGCTAACTAGGAATGAGAGAACAAGTTGAAGAGAAATGATTTGTGTTCATTAGGAAAGTATTTAAGTTACAAATTCTAGGGATCGATTGTTCATCCTTTATTACATAAGCATCTTTTTTTTATAAAGGATTTGTTCTCATATCATTTAAATAAACGATAGTTATATGTATATATCTAGGGATTGCTGACTTTGGCCCCGTTTGGCGCTGCTGTTTTGCCGCTTCCTGTTTTGTAATGCCCATGAGGGAGCATTTGGGGAGCTTCGTTTCTGTCGCTTCTGAGAAAATTGTATTTGCTAGAATATGATTTTGAAAGGATAAATTTGTCTGAGCAGTAGTCAGTCCACAGACATGTTATATGACCAAACCTTTATTCTGAACCACTAGAATTTTCTTAAGAGGACAAGCTAGTACTTTATGTAACCTAGTTTTCCTCTGCTAGTTTCAAAAACTAGAAGCCTTGTTACTAGAGATGTGTGAGTAAGCCCGCTGAAAGATCATCTCCTGAAAATTTAAAAGATTATGGCCTCTTTTGAGAAAACTTTCATATTGTTTTTTTTTAAAATTTTTTTTCTTGCTATTTCAAAGTGTAATTCTTATTAAACATTAAAAAATTGTTTTTTTAACATGTTTTTATAAAAGTAAAAAATGTGATCAATTCAATTTTAATGTGCACCTATCTGTGATATAGTGATAGATATAATTTTTCATCGTGAGGTTGCGGGTTCGATTCACATATATCATCTTTGTTAGGTTCAAATTTTTAGAAAAAAATAGTTTAAGCCTCAGACTCCTCGCACCAGCCAACATCTCAATCTTATGGTATCTTGCAGGCTCCAAGCTTTTCAATTTAGGGTTTGTTTGGTTAAAACTTTTATTTGTTAAAAAATAGTGTATGATGTGAAATGTATTTATAGGAAAGCTTTATAGCCAAATCATTCAAATTTTTGTTTAAATTTTTTTTTTAAATGGTGATTATGATAATAAAGTTGATTCAAGTGAGGCTTTAAATTGCATCAATAAGTATATTGGTAAGCAGCGTCATTAAATCTTTAATGAAAATATCTATTTTCTTATTATGATTTTATCAAATCCTTATTTTAAACATATATGTAAATAAAAATGGCCAACTCTAATATTGAGAAGGTTTAATGGTTCAAAAGAAAGAAAGTATGACAAATGAGGGATCGTCGACAGAAGATTAGGCGGCAGTCAGATGCAGCTGTTCGAGCTAAGGTAAACAAAATCAAAGCCGATCAAGCTATGAAGACGATTGAATAACTCGAATTTGAACCCTCAAACTATAATGAGACATATAGACATCTAAGCCAACTATTACAAGAAAGTTGACTCAAGGAAAGATTAGTTCATCAATAATATCAACCATCCCACGGATGCTCATGAGGTTCCTCATGAGTGATTGAGAGTTAACTATACTATAAGAAGTATTAATAATCTTTTAGGCTCTTCTTGTGAGAATGAGCTACCTATAGGGTTACGTTGATTCATTAGTTTCCTGATAGCCTAATGTCGCTCAACCAATAGGAGTTCCTCTTGAAGGATTGAGGGTTGACAACTAGACTAGATCAATCGACCTGCGAAATCTAATCGATTGAATTCGGCCTGCCGACCCGAAGCTAATCAAACTCAGACGACCTGAGTCTGCCTTATCGAGCGGAAGCCTAATGAGCTCAATTGACCGAGCGGGAATGCAGAAGAGCTGTAGGCATATGTAAAATACTAAAAATATTTTATAATGACCTCATTAAAACAGAGACACAAATACACTTTCATGTAAGTAGAGAGTTCATTTTATGAGAAATGACTAAAAGATAAAACTTATTAATATTCATTACTTTGTACTGTTCTCTTCATCTCTTTCTCTCTCTCTTCTTCCTTTCTTATATTCTATTTCTTTGAATATTTCAACAATTTACAATAAAATTTTTGGTATATGATGAAATAATGCCATTATAAGTGCAATCTTAAAATAAAATAAAAAAATAATTTAATTATATCACTGAAAAAAATAGGTTGTTTAATTCACATATTTGATCGATTTTGCATAATTGTAATAAAATATATTAGAACAACGACAATTTTATTAATTGATCATGATTCATGCCCATAAACAACGTGCCAATTTAGCATTCGCTGCTCTCGCTGTTTCACGTTTTGTGAGGTAATTTACCTTATCTTGGTTGTCTTATTGTTCGGCAACTCCGAATGGACGATTCATGGACCCCACTTTGACCAATTATCCTTATCCACACTTGTACAAGATCATCGCCGTCAAATGTAATCAGCCGTCCTCCATACAATCTGATCGTTACTTCCTAGTACTGCCTCATGTGCTCACTCTTTGCGAAGGGAGGTCACACTGCAGAGAGAGCGAAATGGTGTTAATGTCTTCTGTGTTTCGGAGAAGAGTCCTTCAACTTCCACCATGCAGAAACCCTAAGCCTACAATTTCCCGGCGGTGGATGTCCTCGTCGCCGTCGCCGGAATCGCCGGAGGGGAAGAAAGGGATGAATATTGAGACGATATTGGTGGCGAACCGCGGGGAGATTGCGTGCAGGATCATGAGGACGGCTAGGAGGCTTGGCATCCGGACTGTTGCGGTATTTAGCGATGCCGATCGTGGCGCTCTTCATGTGGATTATGCCGACGAGGCCATACGAATTGGACCGGCTCCTGCACGCTCCAGCTATCTTAATGCATCGGCCATTATTGAGGCTGCCCATCGAACTGGAGCTCAGGTTATTGAACCTTTTCTTCTCTGGTTGCTTATTGCCATATATGCCTGCACTTGTTTTATTTTCTGTTCGGTGCTTCAAAATGTTTGCCTGCCTTACCTTTCATTAAGGAAGGCGGCATAGAAATTGGAAGGTTGAGGTGTTCAAGCACTTGAGGCTACAGAATGTTGAGAATGCGTATGCAGGATTTATGCAAAACACATTCCCTCACATACAGAGAATTTGTTAGAAGCAAAACCCAGGTTTTATTTTATTTTTTAATAGGTTGGATGGTGATTTCAGAGGTTTTTTATGTCCTTAGTAGTTCATAGCCAAGTTGATCCTGACGGAAGAAAAAAATTGAGTTAATGCGTGGTGATACACAGAAACTTATTCGATTAGAGAGAATGGGATACCACCTATTAAAGATAAGTTTGTTGAAAATATATTTTTATGATGGGGTGTTTACATACTTATCACCCAATTCCTATGTATTAACATAGCAAGCACATAAAATTCAATTTTTAAGTACACATGACCCGATTCCTGTGTTTTTGGCATAGGTTGCATGTTTTGTAAGTAAAAATTGAAGTGATTTTTCCTCTCAAATATGGTAATGAAGGTGTTGAGTGATGAAATCAAAACGAAACCAATGAGAATTGAGTGTGTCCTGGTTTGGGCAAGCTCAATTAATGGTTGATTTGGGATTTGAGGTGATAAATCAGTGGAGAATTGGTCCTAATGTTCTAAGGAAGAAGCTAGGAGTGAAATTGACAGGGCTTCACTAAGGGATCAATGGTGTGTCTTGAACCTGAGAATTTGAGCCTATTTTTGGGCTTGAGTAGGGGTAGTGGTGATGTTCCTATTGGCTTGTTGCATTTGCCATGGATTTCTGAGGTGGTGCTTAGTCACCCTCAAACATTCAACGGGGTTGTGCCAAGTTGATGGGGTCTCCAATGGGAAGGTGTCATGGTGGAATTCGGGTTAGAGCAACCTTGGGTCAAGGTGCCACGACAATAACCTAGCACATGTGCCCACTCCTTTTTGTTGTTGGGTTGGTTATGGGAATCGGTTGAAGAGGTTTTGAGTATGGACCAATGAGGAGCAAGGCATGTGGGAGGAAGTGAAGGCAAGGATTGGCTCAACTAAGTGAAGCTTCTAGAGTTGGCTTATGTGGGTTCACATGGGGCTTGGGTTGAATTTAAAATGGCGTGGCTTGGTAGCTGAAATATATTGGATAGGTTCAACATAAAGAGTGGCTCAAAAGCTATTAGATTGATTTATAAATGGTGGCTTGAAGTTGGCTTCATAATTGGTCTCAAATGGTTTGAATTTGCATTCAACTGAATTTGAATTTAATTTCAAAATAAGGAGTTTATCAAATATGAATTGTAGGTAGGATTTGATGTGTAGAGAGTGGCCAATTGGAGTGTTAAAAAAAAAAAAAAGTGTGGCATGAATGTGTTTAATAAATAAGAGATGTATGTGTGATTGCAAATTTGAATGCTTGTATTTTTACAATTATTTTTATTTTTTTATTAATAAAGTTAATTATTGGAAGGTTATAAAAATATCACTTTTTATATATATTAATATTCAATTCTGATGTATTAATTTTTATCTGTCATCATTTGTGAATTTATCAAATTTTATTTTGAAAATTTTAACTATTGTATTTATAGATTTTGAAAGATTTCTTTTATACTGATTTAAATTTCAATTGACTTATTAAGTTTTTTTTGACAAATTTCTTTCTTTCTCATTAAAAGAAATGAATGATTTTTTTTTTTTTAAATGGGTAACTATCGTTCTGATCTTTAAGAGTGCTTCATAATCAAAATGAGCTCCCTAAAAGTTAAGAGAAAGAGTTATTTAAAAGTGAGTGAAGGTGTGTGAAGTGTCTCGAAGCAAGAACCACCACAAGACCTAAATTTCTAAACTCAAAAGGTTTTCATGTGGCTTTTCAAACCTATAGAAACTCTACTTGAGTTTCAATTTATTAGTCTCAATCAACCCAACCGAAATTGAGGATTTAAAACCTAGTATATGAGACTACAAAGAGTCAAGAAATGATTCAATTTATAATTGAAGTGTTTCCCAACTCTAGTCCTTTAGGAGAGTCATTAGGAAAATCCTAAGTCTCGATCCTAAATTCCAGAGAGAAAGAGAGGATCCTCATAAAAATGAGGTCAACAGGTACCTTCAAGTACATTTTTGAGGATACCGTCAGATATGACAATAATCCTGTTATGACTCATAAAGAGTTAAAAATGATAAATACTTAAAATTGAAACGAGAATAAATAAATTTAAAGTGAAAGTTTAAAGTCTTATAAGGTAACGAATTATATTTTCTTTTGGCCATTCATGGATAGCATTGACATAATAATTTAATGTATATTAATATTATAATTGTATGCTAAATCATATTTATTGTTAAATTTGATTTTATCTTTCAGGAAAATAAAAATTGTAGGTTGATATGACTATTAGGAGAGACTTAGTTTACAAGAGGAATACTGCAACTGATAGGTACTAGTTTATGATGAGATTATAGTTTTTTTTATTGTTTACATATGTGTAGAGACACTTTGTACATTGGCTTGAGATGTCTATAAGCTGTTACTGTTTTTGGATGTTTCGATTTTATTTGTATTGTACTAGTGGATCATTGGAGTTTTGAGTATGATAACATGCGTTTAAATATAAATACTGTCGGTTCACAATTGTTAACTTGGTTAATTCCAAGTTATCAGACTGGGTCGTGCACTCTGAGAATAAATAAAAATGTTAAGGACGAGCAATTGCACGGGCAATCTTATAAGAAATCAAATGGTAGTGAATGAGATGAGCAAAATATTGAAACAAATAAGGGATGAGCGGCGGTGATTTAGTCCCTGACCTTATTTTAATCTTTTTTAAGTTTGTTTAGCCATCTTCAAAAGGTGTTTTAGGTGACCAATACATTAAATGTATCTTTTCCTTGTAGTGTCATGAATGATTTAACTAAGTAGGTGAGACTTCGCTTCCATGTATATAGGTATACTGGTTAGGGCAACTCTAGCTGCCTGCTGAGCTGCACATCTCAAAGTAGTGGGCCAATTACGTTTTATGCAAGAATTTCATGAAGTGGGAGTGGTCTTTCCCACATTACCTTGATCCTGTGGTATCGGAGAGCCGATCATGAGACTCACAAACCATTCATGCTCTTTCTCTTTTGTTTTATTTCCTTTTTTCTTATTTCCTTCTTTAGATTATTTCTTTTTGATTCTTACCTATTTATCTAGTTTCTAATTAGGTATTTGCTTTGAGGAGACTTATATATATGTTGTATTAGGGTTTGATTTTCAGTTTTGCTGTGTTGTATCTCTAGACAACGGTCAAAGTGGTGCTCCACCTGTATTTTGGTCTCCAAGTGGCATTTAGCCTTTCTTTACCCTTCCCTATCCTTTCCCGCATCAACTCCCTTCACCCTCACCACTTCTCACTTGCAGACACTACCCGAAAAACAGAAAACCTGCTGTTTTCCCCTGTTTTCCTTGCTGCCGCCACCCTGAACAGCACCTCCAAAACTTTTTTTGCTGCTTGTTCGCTAGCCAATCCTCTTGCCACCCACCCTGAGGTCCAAATTCCTAGCTAGTACTACCTCCACCTTAGAATCGACCCTAGTTCGGGTGTCGTGCTGTTGTTTTGTTGCAATTTCAGATTTCCACTGTTGTTTGTTGTAATTTCAGTAATAATATTGCTTTCCCCTTGCTTGTTTGTTAAAGTCCAGTGTCATGCCATTTTACTGTTTTTTCATGTTCACATTTCATTCTGCAGGCTATACACCCTGGCTATGGTTTTTTGTCTGAGAGTGCTGATTTTGCTCAGCTTTGTGAAGCTGAAGATCTTAACTTTATAGGGCCTCCAGCGTCTGCCATCAGAGAAATGGGTGACAAGAGGTTTTAATTCTTATTTCATGACATATGATATTTTTTTGTCTTTCCTAATTTCATTAATTTGTTCTGATGAGGTTGCTACACAATATTATTTCACTTTTCATGCCATCTCACTGTCAGCGCATCAAAGCGAATCATGGGTGCTGCTGGTGTACCACTTGTGCCTGGTTATCATGGTGACCAACAGGATATTGATTTTTTAAAAGCCGAAGCTGAAAAAATTGGATATCCCATTTTAATAAAGCCTACACATGGCGGAGGAGGAAAGGTATGACTTTAAAAACACCGTTTTAAAAGAAAAATGAGGGATGCCCCTGAAAAAAACAAACTTGCATCCCAGTCATTGTATGCTGTATATAATTAAAGTTGAGGATCTTGCAACTATACAAGTTCTCATGATTTCTTTTGCTAGAATGAATATGCTTATATTTTCTTTCATCATCTCAAAATTTCATATGCACCATTGTTTAGAAGTATGAAGACATTTTTTTCTGGTCATAAATTATGTTTTGGGATATTTATATGAGTTCCATTAAAGTATTTCTTGTTTACGAAACTACCACCCAAAATTTTATGTATTTACACATGATTAACCAAATTATTGAAAATTTAACATATAGTTGAGAATAAAAGCTGATAGATTTGTGGTGCACTTCATGATTTAGGTCCTATTATTATTAATTGAAGTATCTGGATGGTAGTTTTGTAAATAAAAAAGATTTCATATACATGTAATTTCCCCCTTTATTTTGTTTAATGAGCTTTCTCTCTTCTTCATTCTCAGTTCATTTGCTATACAATATGAAGGCGCCAGTTTCCACCTGTAGGATAGGATTCATGAAAGGTATTAGAACAAAGAGCAAACTATAACGAATGACTTCAAGAGATGATTAAACTTGGACACATTAATTTTGCATTGCAAAATCTACCCTAGTGTCAGTCTTCATCTTTATGCGCAACATATATGTTTTGGATGACTTGTTTAGGCGTTATAAGGTTGTATGATGCTAAGAACTTCAAAAATTATAAAATATGAATCCGTATTATTTAAAGATACCCAAAATTTGCCAATTAAGGTCGGCATCTTGAAAGCTTTTCTGGACATTGAATTGGAAGGACATGCTTATGGTTTATAGGATTAGCTGGTATTCAAGTTGGGGCTAAATGGTGGTGATGCAAGCGAAAATAAATAGAAGTATTTTCTGTAGTATAAATCATTCACATTAAATAACCTACATAATTTTAGAAACATATATTTAAATGACTATGGAAATATTTTATGTACATAAGATTTAACTAGGATTTACGAAATATAATATTTTATCATAGTTTTCCAAATTAAACTAAATCAATATAAACTAAAAATTGAAATTGTGTTTTACTAACTCATAGGTTGTGAACAAGCTGATTTTGTCTTGATTCGGGGTTTGGCTTGATGGGTTGGAACATGGATCAATATCGAATCGTGGCTCAATTCAAATGATAAAAAAATATATCGATTTTGATCTAGCTCTTTTTGATTTTGAGCTAGTTTGAATGGAGCAGCTTAATCAAAATTTGCCTCAAAATTGAAACGAGTTGGATCTTTTTGTTTGAGCCAGCTTGAAATTAATGTTTACAAATTAATTGCGAAGGATTCAAAAAGTGAGAATTGACTATACAACACAAAGTGATAATTTAAATATAATGCGAGGAAGTTAAGACAACGTTTTTGTTCTAAATTGAGAAAAAATTACAATTAGATGTACATTACACTCATGACCTGAAATTTTTTGCATTGTAATGATCATTATTTGATGGAATAAGCTCGTGCTAGTTTTGTAATGCATGCCTGCAGACAATATTTTTCTTTTATTCTTAATTTTACAGTTTGTCGGTGTTCTTTTCAGGGAATGAGAATAGTTCGAAGTCCAGGTGAATTTGCTGATTCTTTTTTGAGTGCACAACGTGAGGCTGCTGCTTCTTTTGGAGTAAGTACAATTTTGATTGAGAAGTACATCACTCAACCCAGGCATGTAGAAGTTCAGGTAACATTTGTGGAAATCTTAAAGTTCCTATGTTTTCAAACGGACATGAACTTTGATAGTCTCATTGGTGATATGCCATATCAGCTTTCATGCCATTAAATGCTATGATGATCCCTTTGATTCTTTTGAATGCAGGAAATTATCAGAATAGGATTATATCCAAACTCTGCAAAAATATAATATACTAAAAAAAGAAATAGAATATTTAATTAATCATATCGTCAATGTTGAGTATGAAGTTAGCTCATATAGACATCTTCAATTTTATGTGTGTGTGAGAACTTCTCTGTGGAGAGTTGAGCTAAATGTATTCATCGAGTAGAATCCTTGTCTTGCTAAGAAAATGAAAAAGAGAAGATGAATCACAAAGCAATTACTTCAGTAACTTTTTGTTTGATAAATGAGGTTTTTAAAATATATTTGATCCAAGTAGCACAAATGATATATAGAAACAACAACAAAAGCAACAACAGACCTTTATTCTAGTGAGTGGGGTTAGCTACATGATTCCTTTTTCTCCATTGTATTTTATTGAGAGTCATATTTTCATTTAATCCTAATAAATAAGATCATTTTTTATAAAACATGCTCAATTTTTTTTAGGTCTACTTCTACATTTTTTAACATAATTCCAATCTAAAATATCTACTATTATAACTGGATCATCAAATGCTTGGCGTTTAATGTAATCGAATCATCTAAGACAATTCTCTCTAATTTTGTCCGCCACTAGAGCTGCACCAATCCTTTCACAGATATACAACTCTTTCACGAATATATTCGTTTCACATTTTGTATCTAAGTGTAAAGCCGCTGATCCACCAAAGCATTCTTATCTCAACAACACTTAACTTGGTTTTGCTTCTCTTTTATAGAACAACATTCTGCGCCATAAAACATAGCAGGTCTCACCGCCATCTTATAAAATTTTCTGTTTAAGCCTAAAGGGTACTTTTCTATCACACAATAGGCTCGATGCATTCCTCCACTTCAACCATCCAATCTGAATTTTACCAATAACATCCCCATCTATATCACCATCACTGTGAACAATAGACTTGAGATATCTAAAAAGTTCACTCCTTTAAATGATTTGAACACCCATTGATACAACCACTAGATCTACTACTACTAAAATCATATTCCATGTATTCAGTTTCAGATCAACTCAACTAAAGGTTTTAGGCTCTAAAGTTAACCTCTATAATTCAAGTTTTTCCTGAACTCTTTCTCTAGCCTTATCCATAAGCAGGATGTCATAAGCAAAAAAACATACACCAAGGTACCTCTTGTAAATATCCAGTAAAAGCATCCATAATTAAAACAAAAGAATATGGGTTTAAAGCTGATCCCATGATGTAATTCAACTGAGATAATAAAATACTTAGTTAATTGTCATTCTGTTCGAACACAAGCTACAACTCTAGTATACATATCTTTAATGACTTGAATATAGGTTATATCAACACCTTTCTTTTCTAGAACTCTTCAAAGAATTTCTCTTGGAACATTGCCATAATTTTTTTCTGCATCAACAAAAATCATATGTAGATCCTCTGTACTTCTACTTCAAACCTCTCAATAAATCTATTGCTTCCATAGTAGATTTGCCCGACATAAATCCAAATTGATTTTGAGAAATCTTTGTATCATGGATGAACCTATGTTCAATTACTCTCTCCCATAGTTTTAATGTATGACACATTAACTTAATTTCACTATAATTTGCAGACTCTCGTGCTTCATATTTATTCTTAAAAACATAGACTAAACTGCTCTTCTTTCACTCTTTAGACATCTTTTTAGTTTTTAAAACAATATTAATAAGTTTAGTAAATCAAGCAATTTCCAAGCTTTCTAAATATGTTCACTCTTGTTTTGGGATATCATCAAGTCTTACAGATGTTCACTCTTCATTTTCTTTAAATCCTCCTAACTTCTTTTTTACTAACGCAATAGTAAAAATAAAAATAAATTATTATTATTAAGGATATTTAAATTATTATAGTCGTTCATATTCAAAATTTTCATTGAGAAGTTTATCAAAATATGATTACTTAAATTCTCACTTAAAATGATATTATATTCTTTACAATCTCAACGATTTCTTTTTATTAGATTCATTCTTATAAGTGATAATATGTTTGTATTTTTTTAAAATAAAATATTAACAATAACAAAATGATAAGTTAAAATAAAATCCATTATAACTACTTTTTTTATTAGTCACTCCAAAATCGTAGCCACCATGAATATTTTTAAAATCTTACACCACTCTACTAACATGTCTATTTAACAAGCGGATGTAGGAGTGCCACTGAATAGTAGGTAACAATTGGCCGGAGGTAGTTGCGGTGCTCGGAGGGGTTGCTGGACGACAACTTGCAGTAGGAGTTGGTAGGAATGTGGCTGGATAACAAATGATTGGAGCAAAAGGGCGGTGCAAGGATGATCAGGGGGTGTGCAGGTAGGATGATAGCAAGTGAGGGGAATAAGCGGGGAATTATGTGGAGGTAATCACCACCTTAGTGAAAGATACGACCGGAGCACCACCCGTCCTCGGATAAGCCCTAACAAGGGAAAAAACACCAACGATAGAAAAGTCTGAAACAAAAATCAAACCCTAAACAGAGAAAATAAAATATATATAGTAGTAGATAACTAGGAAAGGAGGGGAGAGAGAGAGAGATCCCTTTTCTATTTTTTTTTCTTCCTCTTTTATACATAAGAGAAGAAATCTATAAAATAATCAAGTAGTACATTTTGCAGTGTATGATGCCTCTATCCGATATCCCGATGAAAACAATGTGATGTAAATGTCAGTGTATTACCGACTGATGCTAGATATTGCCGATGAATATCATGTATTGCCGATACTGTAGCCACCTGATACCTGAGTGAAAAGATAGAATCCCAAATGTCAGACAATACCATTAAATAAGAAATTGTCGGATGTTCTTGGTGGTCTTTATGGCCTCTTTTGATAGCTGCCCTAGCTTAGGCGAGCTAGGTTACTCTTTCAAGGGAAAATGAGAGCGATTAGATTGGCAGGCAGGTAGGCTCGGTTCAACAATTTCAATATTTGTGTTCAGTTCAACCACTTTTGGTGGATTTTATTCGGCCACTTCAGCGGGGGGTTCAATTTGGCCGCTTCAACAGGTGGGCTCGGTTCAGCCACTTTAGTGGGTGGGCTTGTTTTAATGAGAGACAATTTCAGTGAAAACTTTTGTGTACCCATTTTTGTGTACACGCCTGCAAAATCCTCAATCATTAATAGATTCTTTTACACTATCTTGAAACCCTAGGTAGCTCGCTATCTAGAAACCTCAGATCGCTATTGGTTGGGAGCTAAGCATCACTAATGGGGCAAGTGGATGAAATCAGTTTGGAAGCAATAGGGTGGAATGATGGTAGACTAAGTAAGAGCTTTTGAAGAATTACATAAAAAATTATCAGCTTTTGAAGAATTACATAAAAAATTATCACCCTTGCAGCACAGAAGATGAATAAATAAAGGATTCGGAAAGCTTAAAATAAGATTCACAGAAATTAAAAAAAGAATTTAGTAAAGCGGACCTTCAATTGCCTAGGTAAAGCTAATGATGATAATTCTTGGATCACTTGTTTTCTTTGGAATATGGAGAAAGTGTGTTTTGATAAATTATGCGCTTTTTGTTTTTCACATTTAGTTCATTTAGCTCAATACTCTAGGCTTTATGATCCATATTGGTGTTTTTAACAATAGATATATTTTATTTATATAAAGGTTTTTGGAGACAAGCATGGAAATGTCATCCATTTATATGAGAGAGACTGCAGTGTGCAACGAAGGCATCAGAAAATAATTGAAGAGGCACCTGCGGTATGGTTCATGTCTTTTGTACTGCTGTTATTGTTCTTATGTTTGTAATAGCTTTTTATCTCAATTGTTGCAGCCAAAGGTAGCCAATGAGTTCCGCTCTCATCTAGGCGAAGCTGCTGTTGCTGCTGCCAAGGTTAGGTGATTCTTAATTCAATAATTTTTATCAATCATACTTCCAATTGATTTGAATTGATATAAGGGTTTTCTTATCTTCTAAAAAGAGAACTTTTCCTTGCATCATGAGGTCTTGTTTTATTGGCCACCATGTTCCATTTCTACTATTTTGTGCAGGCGTAATTGGAGCAAGTTTTGCCGCCTTTTTCTTTGTTTTAATCGGCTGCTTTGTACTCAATTCTAATTCATTATTATTTTGTATTCTGATTGAGAATTCCTGGCATTTATTCTCCGTAAAGGCAGTTGGCTATTACAATGCGGGAACAGTGGAGTTTATTATGGATACCCTTTCCAATCAATTTTATTTCATGGAAATGAACACCAGACTTCAGGTACGCTGACTTTTGCTCAATTATTGTTACAGCATAAAAGCATGAACTTGGAGATATTTTTGCACTTTTTTCTCTTTTTTTTTTCTTTTAACTTTAAGCGTGAGTGTTTAGGGCGTTGAAAAATAGTTTACCCGAAACAGTTTCTTGATTGATGACAAAAACGTGAAGGTCGAACATCCTGTAACCGAGATGATTGTTGGACAAGATCTCGTGGAGTGGCAAATCCTTGTTGCAAATGGTGAAACTCTGCCTTTGACTCAGTCAGAGGTGCCCTTAAAAGGTAAATTTTAAAAACAATAACATAGTTTATCTGCAGCATAGGTCATCACGCTATTAATTATGATGGCATTTTTACTGTAATTTGGATCACTAATCCAAATGATTTTTTAGTTTTGAAGCGGTTTGATACCTCATGGAATCTTGCACGACCTGAGCTTGCTTCGAAATGGGATATACTTCTGAAACATATGCTAACTGTGCTAAAATATGTTTTCTTGTTGGGCAAGAATAGTTACTCCAGTTAATAATAATAAAAAAAAGAGACTTATATTCATCATCTTTGGTGGACTCTAAATTTGTTTTGATAATTTTTGTGTGCATAGTATCAATTAATGAGTGTATGAACTTGACAGAGCAAGACCAAGTATTATGTCAATATTTTGAACTAATAGGCTGAATGCCTTTTCCTTTGCTTTCATTCCAATAAATAATAATCTGTACAATCTATTTTATGTATATAATATTTTGTATAAACTATTTTAGGTAACTTAATTAATATATTTTCCTAATCTAAATATTCAGCTAAAAGGAAAGAATCTATGCAAATATAATGTTTTCTTATTTGGAGTACTGCGAAGAAGGAAACTCTTTATTCTGCGTGATTTCTTTTACTTCTGATTGATATTATAACTTAGGTTTATGATATTATAAGAGTGTGCATGGAATAGTTTTACTTATATACTATTGTTATATTTTTATTTGGTTATAATTTTTTTTGCCACATTTCAGAATTTTTTTGCGATGAAGATGTTTTCATAAGAAGATTTCCCTATGAAGCATGGACACGACTTTGACACACCTTGACATATTTTTGACATGTCAAACTTTGTTGGAGTTTTTTATTTCAAATTTGAGCTCCGATGCTTATGAGGCATATTAGGACATAAGAATAGACATTTTTTTTTAAATAGCAGGGCACATTTCATTGCTCAAAATCACAAGCTTCTAGAAATTAAGTAATATGGTTGCTGCCCTAACCTGATACATTTTGTATCCTCTTTGAAACTGAGATGCGAAGATGAAGATGAAGCCTTGATATGCATACAAAGCCGAAGATGAAGTTGCATCTCTCTATTTCAAATCGGGATACCAAAGGCTAAGATGCATCCCCACCTAGCATTGTTTATCACCCTAGATTTGCAACCAAAGATGAAGATGCATCCCCACCTTGCATCGCGTCTCACCCTCATGTCACTTTTCGACCTCTACTAAATCTTCAAAGGCATATGCCCATATACCTACATTTGAACTCAAAGCCAAAGCTATTTTTTTCATGTATAAATAACCGAGGTCCAAGTATATATAGTCGACGTCGAAGGTTTCATTTTTTGTAGTTGATATGTTTATGCAAAATTAAAATATTTTGTTAATTTGTTCTATGTATAGTTTTAAATGCCCCTGCCTTTGCGCCCGAGCTCATGCTGAAGATAATAAAATGCTTATTGTTTTGACTTTTTGTGGTCATTTTGAAGCATTGCATTGCTTTTGTTTTTTTATAATTGTATTAGGAAATTATATATTATTCATTATTATGAACTTATTAAATATAAAAAAATGTAGTGTTAGTGTACCCGTATCTGTGCCCATACTTCATAGAGGCCTATTAGGGTGTGGTAGCAATAAAAAGGTGCATTTTTTTTTTGAAGGAAAAAAGTTATAATATAATACATGCAACAACTCACAAACACCCAATTTTTCCCACAATTATTATGCAACTAATATAAGAAACATCTACAATCATTCTAAACAAATCCAAAGTTGATGTTCAACAACAACAACAAGACTTTATCCCACTAAGTGGGGTCTGCTACATGAATCCTTCTTCTCCATCACGTCCTATTGAGTGTTCATTTAATTTTAATAAATTAAGATCATTTTTTATATAATATGCCAAAGTCTTTCTTGGTCTACCTCTGCCTTTCTTAACATAAGTAGAATCTAAAATATCTACTCTCCTAACCGGATTATCTGATGGTCGACGTTCAATGTGAACAAACCATCTAAGATGACACTCTCTAATTTTGTCTGCCGCTGAAGCTACACCAACTCTATCACGAATATATTCATTTCATAATTTGTCTCTAAGTGTAAAGTCACTCATCCACCTAAACATTCTCATCTCGACAACACTTAACTTAGTTTTATGCTTCTCTTTTAATGACCAACATTCTGCATCATAGAGCATTGCAGGTCTCACCATCATGTTACAAAATTTTCCTTTCAGTCTAAGCGGTACTTTTCTATCACACAATAGGCTCGAAGCATTTCTCCATTTCAACCAACCAACTTGAATTCTACGAATAACATACCCATCTATATCCCCATCACTTTTAAGAATAGACCCGAGATATCTAAAATATTCACACATTTTAATTATTTGATCACCCATAGTTTCAACTCTGTCATTAGAGCTACTACTACTAAAATTACATTCCATGGATTCAGTTTTAGTTCTACTCAAATGAAAGTCTTTAGACTCCAAAGCAGACCTCCATAATTCAAGTTTTTCTTGAGCTCTTTCTCTAGTCTTATCCACAAGAAGGATATCATCAGCGAAAAGCATACACCAAGGTGCATCCTCCTGTAAATATCCAGTAAGAGCATCCATAACTAAAGCAAAAAGATATGAACTTAAAGCCAATCCCTGATGTAATTCAACTGAAATAGGAAAATATTTGGTCAATCCTTCTTCTGTTCGAACACAAGTAACAACTCTAATATACATATCTTTAATGACTTGAATATAAGTCATATCAACACTTATGATATCTCTAGGAACCTTATCGTAAGTTTTTCTAAATCAATAAAAATCATATGTATATCCTCTTTATTCTCTCTGTACTTCTCTATTAAACCACTCAATAAATGTATAACTTCCATAGTAGACCTACTCGACATAAATCTAAATTGATTATTAGAAATCTTTGTAATACATCTTAACCTATGTTTAATCACCCTCTCCCTTAATTTTAAAGTATGACACATCAACTTAATTCTTCTATAATTTGCACTCTCTTGTGCATCCCTTTTATTATTAAAAATGGGGACCAAAATACTTTTCCTACACTCAAACATATTTTTAGTGTTTAAAATAATATTAAAGTTTTTAGTAAGCTAAGAAACTCTAAAGTCTCCTAAATGTTTTCAAACTTCCATTGGGATATCATCAAGTTCTACAAACTTTCTGCTATTGGTTTTCCTTAAAGCCTCCTCAACTTCTTTTCTACTAATGCGATAGTAAAAATAAAATATTTTATTATTATTAATCATATTAAGATCATTAAGGTCAATTGCATTTCAGAAACTTACTGCAAAGTTTATCAAAATATTTTAGCCACCTACGTTGAATATATTTTTCTAAGAAAAACACTTTTTGATTTTCATCTTAAATACATTTTACTTGAGTTGAATCTTTACTTTTATTTTCTCCTTTTTGGCTAGTTTCTACATATATTTTTTTACTCTCTTTAGTATCTAATTATTATATAGATCACTAAAAGTAGAGTTTTAAGCGTCACAGGTTGTTCTCTTAGACTCCATACCTGTCATTTTATATTTTTCACAGTTCTCTAAGCTTTTACATTTAAACTAATTTTTATAACATAAATCTTATATTTTATTTTTTATCTCTTAAACTCTCTACTTGTCATTTTATATTTTCTATGACCAACTATTTTTATTTATATAATTTTTTTTTTGATTCTCCAAATACATTTTTTGCCACTTGTTTAATAGTGTTTGTTACTTATCTCACATAAAGTCTGCTTCTTCATGCACATCCCAAATCTTGAAATTTTGATGTTTACTCATAAAAATATTTTTTTGTTTTTTAAGTGCTGCTATCTAATGCTATGACAATGATTCCTAGTATTTTTTATTTTACAACTCTTCATCTTAAAATTCAGAATTAATAATTAAAGTTGTGTACTTAAATTCTCACTTGAAATGATCTTACAATCTTTACACTCTCGACGATCTCTTCTTCTGATAAGAAAATAATCAATTTTTGTTTTATTAGATCTATTCTTATAAGTAATAATATGCTCATCTCTTTTCTTGAATAAATATTGACAATAACAAAATTATATACTAATATAAAATCTAATATAATTTTACATTCTTCATTAATCTCTCTAAAACTGTAGCCACCATTAACATTTCTAAAATCATTTACCATTATACTGATATGTTCATTTAAATCTCTTTCAATAAAAATATCCTTTTTCAAGTGGTATCATTTGTATTAATTCTTCTAGGCCATTCCAGAAAATTTACTTAGAACTTATATCTAAGCCTACTTGAAGAGCATAAACACTTATAATATTGAAAATCTTAGTATCAACAACAATTTTAAGGGTTACAATTTTATCTTCAATTCTATTAATTTTTACAACATATTCTTTCAAATTCTTATATATAATTACACCTACGCCATTTATAGTGCGGCTCTTACCTCAATACTAAAGTTTAAAATCTAAGTTATCAATTTCTTTAGCCTTTTCTCCAACCCATTTAGTTTCTTGAATACATAAGGTATTTATCTTTCTATGAATCATAATATCAACTAATTCCATTAATTTACTTATGAAAGTACGTATATTCGAGGACTCTATCTTAGTATTAGTTTCATAGACTAACTTTTTATCCACATCCGTCCGTAATGTGAGAATCTTTTGTTTATTTGACACTACATTTTGACGCCGATGTAGTGGCCCTTGCACACTTTTCACTGTATTCTGGCCATACAGTGCGTTGCTTCTAGGGTACGCACTGGCGTTTACACAATGATCAAAATGTTTCATGTCATGATTTTTCGACAAATTTTACGCTGGCTGTCGGCTGTCTAACGGAACCATCCACTTTTTGCATTTGGAGCTTGAGACCCGACAATGACATTGTTAAAATTAGTTGATGTTATGGGCAAAAAGAACTCTTCATGTTTTATGAGGATATACCAACTCGAAGCAAATACCATAAACTTATGTAGTAATAAAGAGATCAAATATCATGAAAAGACACTAATATATGTGGTTTAATTTAAGAGCAAGTCTAATGTATGGCAAAAATTCTCTTTCGCAGTTTAAGGCGTTGAGATTATCTTGAGAACTTGCTGAACTCAACCCTTGCCACTCGGTCTTCGTCGGTCAGCCCTTGTCGTTTGACCCTCATCACTCGTCTATGAGTTGCTTGGACTTCATCTGTTGTCTATAGTAGAGGAGAAATGATCCAATCTATTTCAGAGAATCTGTTGAACTTGGCCCTCATCGCTTGGGCCTCCCCTCTCGACCCTTTTCTCTCGGTACTCGTCACTCGGTCTTCATAACTCAACCCTACTGAACTCTGCACTCGCCTTTCGACCCTCATCACTCCACATTGTCACTTGACCCTCGCTACTCAGCCTAACAGAGATGTGACCACTCGAAGTATAGAATACAAAATGCGGTGCCAACAGAGGATAACGCTTCAAAGAGCATATTTTATGTCTACCCAAAATAAGACAAAATAAAATGGCCAGAAATCCCTAGAGATCTAAGTGTTATCATTACTTTTGTAAATTTTATAATAAAATTTTTCTATATAAACGAAAAAGAGTGAATGAAAAAGGGGATTTCTTCCTCCACCGAAGGACAACTATTTGAAGAGTTAATACGACACTTTTTCCGCTCTTTCTCCATTCTCTCCCTTCTCTCTTCTCTATTGCTTTTCTCTCCTTCTCTTACACTTTATTTCTTGGGTGTGATTCAAAGACAAAACTGGGTTCACATCTGTTGTCTATAGTAGAGGAGAAATGATCCAATCTATTTTAGAGAAGCAACGCCTGCTAAAATAAACGTGGCTCAAGAAAACATACTTTGCCCAAAATCAAATACAACCAATCTCACAAAAAAATCCAAATCTTCTCCTAAGTCATGGAAATTTTTTTTTGAGAGAGAATAAAAGTAGATTTAAATATTAACAAAAACTCTCCGTTTAATGACACCTCGAATATGCACATTCCTTGATGTTATAAAAAACGACGACAATAAAATGAAGATTGGAACGATAAATTCACAAACAGAGAAACAACAGACACACAGATTTACGTGGTTCGACGACTTGTCTACGTTTACAGAATTGCAATGGATTTTATTACTCGACGATTACACATCGTCGTCCCCTCAATAATTACAAGAAACTTTTTTTCTCTTTCTCTCTATCTCCTCTCCTTCTCTCTCCTCTGCCTGAGAGCTACAGTCAAGAAGAAGACCAGGGGAGCTTCGAAAGCTGCGATTCCTTTTTCCTTTGTATGTGAGCCAACACCAAAGAAGACTTGGGAAAAACCGTACCTTGCAATTCCTTCTAACCGTGAGCCAAAGTGCCGAAGAAGTAGATTTGTGTGTGCCTGTTGTTTCTCTGTTTGTGAATTTCTTGTTCCAATTTTCGTTTTATTGCAATCATTTTCACAACACTTGATATATTTATAATCATTTCATCATTTTTGGCTTTATCATGCTTGCATTGTGCTAGGATAGTTATCTATGCCAAAGAATAGCCTTTTGTTTTATATTTTTCTCATTGTTTATCACTTTTTCTTTTCTTTAATTACCCATTTCCAAGTGCTTGCACAACATTTCTGGAGAATTCTCTTCGCACCAAAACCACAGCTTTTTCGAAGCTCTTAAAAACTCACCAATTGAGCTCCTTACTCTCAGGTACGCATATCAAGGATACAAAACAACCGTCATTGCATATATTTTCTCCTTATTTAGCAGTTTTAAGGTGATTTTAAATCCAATTTTGAGTTGAAGCTATCAAAACTAACAAATTTTCTAACAAGTTTTTAAACTTTATTAATATTTAATATGCAAAGATATAATTTATTTTTATTCCACCAAATTTGATTTTTGTGCTTGTCTTATAAATTTGTTGATTCAAAATCTTAACAAAAGAATATCAGACCTTATCATAAGCTATAAAATAGTTTTTCAAGTTTATAAAATTATGAGGCAACTTATGTGATTGCACATCACTTTCGTGATCTTATGTCTCATTTTGTGCTCGCTATTCTTGTAATCACAATTTCGATCCTAATTTTGATCTCATGCACACTGGTCTATGTGCATCATTATTGTCATTCATCGTTCAACTCCAATTGTAATTCTTACAAAATCCCTATATTTTGTTCCTAGGATTTTATTTAAGTGCATGAGGCTAAGCTAAGGTTTTAACTACAAAATTTTTTGTGGCTTTTATGTTCAAGTTAAGATGAATGAAAATAAAATAAAAATAAATAAAATTTAAAAAGTTGGATGAGTCATCTTATTTTTCTTTGTGAATTTGAAATGACTGTTTTTATAGAAAGGGGTATTTGAGGCATACAAAGATACGTCTATTAATATCTTTATTGATTCTATTTTAGTTTTGACCTTGATTGAGTGCTGGTTGGATGATGCGGGAGCTACTACGATATTGCGTTCCACGGTATCTGCAATTGTGGATTGGAACGAATGGCTCTGTCTCGTGATGTCCTAAACAACTCGACTTTTTCTATTTATTTAACTACTGTTGGGCAATGGACCCCTATTTACTATTATTTTAATTAGTATTAAGGTTAATTTACTTTGAGATTGTATATTGATTTTGTTTTGGATTAGTTGGACAAATTATTGCTTTGTTTATATTATTTGTAGACTTCTCTCCCTGTTTTCTCATATTTAGAGAGTTGAGACATATATATTTTTTTGAAGTGGTGACTATGTATCTTGAAGAAAACAAGTGATTGAACCTCCGTGTCGTCTTTCCTTCGCTGACTCTCCATGCTATTTTTTGGTCGGATAGTCGCCAAACAGTTGTTCTGATGTTTGATTTGCTCGTTTTTACTTCCATTCCTCATCCTACAACCCTTCTAACCCATTTTCTAACATTCTCACGCAGACTAGTTGCCCCAGTTTGGTGTCATTTGATACTAGACTCTGACAAATTCTAAATTTTTAGGGATTTGTTTTTCCTTCGTTTAAACCTAAAATCCAAATAATCTAAATCTCCCACCAACTCAATATCCTAACCATTCTTACCACAATTCCTTGTCCTAACCCAAAATTTTCAAAATATAACATTCTTACCTCCACAAAAAATTTACCCCAACTTCTACTACCTACTAAAATCTAAGCCCTTGGCCAATCTTTGACCCACAATCCTACATCCCCCGAAACCTTTTGTTGAGAGAAAATGACACATTTCTACCAAAGGGACACTTGTAAAGGAGTGTCTAATAGCTTATGATGGAAGACATGTAAAAGGAGATCCACAACCAAAATGGCGACTCACCGAATCGAGAGGATAAAGTTAGTTTATTATATCAGGATCTTTTAAATGATGAAGAGTCAATACCCTGGTAGTTTTGCGTTGAATATCAAAGGAGATGACATGATTTTGGAGTGAAGATTTACTTGCCAGATTTGGGTCCAGATAAATTCATTGAGTGGCTATAAACAGTGGAATGATATTTTTGCATGCATTTCTTAACATAAGATTTTTGTAGCAGATTTATCCAACATAATACATCATATGTTTCGGTTGATTTACTCTTTTTCTAAGTTTGACGTTGTACATTCTTTGTATTTTTCTTGTGCATGTACTAGTTGCTTCAGCTTTCTTCTAGTAAAATAATTTTCTCAAATATTATCTATGATTGTAACTCGTGCAGGTCGAGTTTATTTGTGCTATTAATTGATTTTTTGAGCATGTAATTTAACTTGATTTGTTTTATGTTTTTGGCGATAGGGCATGCCTTTGAGGCTAGAATATATGCAGAAAACGTTTATAGGGGCTTCCTCCCTGCAACTGGTTCACTCCATTACTACCATCCAGTCTCCATTTCTCCAACAGGTAATGCTCCTAAGTCGTGGATTATTAATTAAGCTATAAATTTATGCATCCAAATTGCTGCGTGCTAAATACATATTGGAACTAGTGCGAGTTGAAACAGGAGTGAAGGAGGGAGACACGGTTAGCATGCACTACGACCCTATGATAGCTAAGCTTGTAGTGTGGGGAGAAAATCGACAAGCTGCGTTAGTCAAACTGAAGGACTGCTTGCTAAACTTTCAGGTTTGTCATAATTTCGAGTTTGTTATGTAGTGCTGAAAACATAATACTTATTGCATTTCTTCCTCGGGTTTAGGTTGCATCATTTTCTTATCATACATGTAATCTTGGTATAATATTAATTGTAACCCTTATTTCCTTTTTTGTTATATGTAGATCTTATTCATTTTTCTACTTTTTAAAACTTCTAACTTTTTTTCTTAAAACCTTTCAATGCAAGCCTCCTTTAACACTATCTAAAATCATTTGATAGAGAGGTAAACTACATATTTGGAATTTTGATTTGCTGATTCTGGACAATCATCCAATGGTAGACTTTGGAGTTGCAATTGCCCTTTTGCCTCTTTTCTATGGTTTGACTTGGGAAGGCAGTAATGTTTACATTGCATTTGCTCTTGTATGAATGTAGGTTGCAGGTTTGCCGACTAATATAGGTTTTCTGTACAAACTCGCAAACCATTGGGCTTTTGAGAAGGGCTTAGTTGAAACACATTTCATTGAGCATTTCAAAGAGGATCTTTTCATTGATTCAGGAGTTGATATAGCAGCCGGGACATCTGCTTCCTCCAAACTTGGTGCAGCATTTGTTGCAGCATGCATCTGTGAAAAGGACCATAATACCTACAAGGAAAAGTTTCCTGGTTGGCTATATTTTTGTCAACCTTGTTTTCTAGTATTTTTCAGTTATTGTTGTGTTAGAATCTGAAGTAAATTAACATTTGCAGGTGGGGACAATTTGTTTTCTTTGTGGTATTCTAATCCACCTTTTCGAATGCATCACTCTGCCAAGCGTTTGATAGAACTTGAGTGGGACAATGAACTTGATGGAAAATGCCTAGAACCCTTGAAACTGGTCATCAACTGTGTATCGAAAGGAAGATATTTAGTTGAGGTACTAAGTATGCGCTTGAATTTGAACTGATACTGTTAAATAACAGTGTTAGCAGATCAATACTCATAGTAATCCAATCATCTTTGATGTGAACTTATATGATCATAATTTATGCATTTAAGCCTTCTTTCCCGTGTAACTTATGCCTTTATTTCATTCCTATGCGTCTACTCTTTCTATCACCCTTAAATCAATTTTTGAGATCTCATACTTTTATGCCTTTTTTCACCTATTTATGTACGGGTTCTTTATACATATGCTGAATTTCTTAATCTCAAAGCTATGTCATGGGCAGTTTGAAGGTGATGATTCCCCTGTCATGGACATCAAAGTCGTTCATTTGGGTGAGTGCAAGTTCATTGTTGAAACTGATGGACTGAGCAACCATATTACTTTGGCAAGGTACTTTAAGGTCAGTTTCTCAGAGCAGTACATTTTTTATATATTAATTCTAGCAATTCAGTTTGATATATTCTGCACTAAAAAACCATCGTAATATTAGAGCTAGAGGCAATTCTCCTTTTCCATCAGGATAATTGCAAACACATACATATATGGCACGGGCAACATCACCATCATTACCGAGAACCTGCGAGCCTTGATCATTCTAATAATGACGTGAGTGATCATAAACCTAGTTTTCAGACGGCTCCACATCCTAAAGGGAGTGTGTTGGCACCTATGGCTGGTTTAGTGGTCAAGGTTTTGCTAGACAATGGGGCAAAGGTTGAAGAAGGACAACCTGTTCTAGTTCTTGAGGCCATGAAAATGGAGGTGGGCTGGACCTTAGTTTCATACTCCCGAGTGTCTTCTTGATGAACTTATTCTGCATAAACTAATCTTGTTGGTTGTTTCAGCATGTTGTCAAGTCTCCTCGTGCCGGTTATATTGAGGGGCTTCATATTGCATCCGGCCAACAAGTCTTTGACACTAGTATTCTCTTTACTGTCAAGGTATGTTGCTCTTTCAATTACCATATGTGTATTTCCTCACGCAATTGCAAATCTTATGATGTGTGTATTCATTAAACATAGAAATCAATAAAATATAATAATAATGATGATGATGATGATGATGATGGTCTGTCATTTTGAATGGGCATCTTCGAGGGTGTTCTAGGAGTGATGGGAAGGTTGACATCATTTTGACCTTGAGACCATTCATTAAAAAAGCAAGGAATCCATACTTGATAAAAGAGGCTCACCGCCATGGCGATGTATATTAAATTATTGATTTGAGCTTTTCGGAAATAACACTTTTAAAATGTAGTGTACGGTTGCAAGCATCAACTTCTCGAGGCCCTGCATTAATAGGATCATGGTGTAATTTGTATTTCTTTTATCATGCATGCATAGTTTTGCCTGTTGGGAATGTTGGTTATTTCTGGTAGCTCTAGATGGTTTGTTTATTTTATGATATGACAGTATCTTACTTTGGCTTTTGTAACTATTTAAAGATTTAAAGATATGGATTGTTAGAACCCCCACAACTTTGCTTGCTCAAGCTACTTGGTTGACTAAAATCCGTTTGCTTGCGGTAGTGGTGAGTGGATGGAAATGATCGGTTAGCCATGAGGGACTTGGTGCCCTAGTTGTTACCTAAGGCTTTTAGAAAGTTAGTGTCTTCTACAACTACTGTCTACTAATCAAGGATATTATTTCCATTTGGATCCATTATCCCACTTTTGAGTATTCAAGCTAAGATATGCATTTCATGTCATTGATTACATGCTTTCATTTATTTTGAAGTTCATGTTGGTTTCTTACTCATGAGTTATCAGATACAACAACAATAACAACAACAACAACAAACATTTATCCCACTAAGGGGGGTCGGCTACATAAATCATTTTTCTCCATTGCGTCCTATTGAGTGTCATATTTTCCTTTAATTCTAATAAATTTAGATAATTTTTTATACAACATGCCCAAGTTTTTCTAGGTCTACTTCTGCCTTTCTAACATAAGTCGAATCTAAAACATCTATTCTTCTAATCAGAAATCAGATCATCAGATGGTCATCAACGTTTAATGTGACGAAACCATCTAAGATGACTCTCTCTAATTTTGTTCGTCACTAGAACTACACCAATCCTATCATGGATATATTCATTTCGCATTGTCTCTAAGTGAAAAGCCACTCATCCACCTAATCATTCTCATCTCGGCAACACTTAACTTATTTTATGCTTCTCTTTTAAAGGCCAGCTTTCGGCGCCATAGAGCATTGCATGTCTCACCACCATCTTATAAGATTTTCCTTTTAGTCTAAACGATACTTTTCTATCACACAATACCCGAAGTATTCCTCCACTTCAATCAACCAACTTGAATTCTACTAATAAAATCCTCATCTATATCACCATCACTTTGAACAATAGACCCAAGATATCTAAGGTGTTCACACCTTTTAATAATTTGATCACCCATTACAATTCTGTCACTAGAACTACTACTGCTAAAAATACATTCCCTCTATTCGGTTTTAGTTCTACTAAAACGAAGACCTTTAGACTCCAATATAGACCTCCATAATTCAAGTTTTCCTGAGCTTTCTCTCTCGTCTTATCCATGAAAAGGTTATCATCAGCAAAAAACATACACTAGGGTACATTCTCCTGTAAATGTCCAGTAAGAGCGTCCATAACTAAAGCAAAAAGATATGGGCTTAAAACCGATCCCTGATGTAATCATAAGTGAACAAATATGCAAATATAATCTACAAAGGTAATTTGACAGGTAAGCATAAAAATTTAAAAGATGCAACTTATGAGTTGTCAATTATGGGTGTATTCAAGGAAGGGAATTAAAATAGCTGCCTAGTATTCCATATAATAAAAACTTAATAGGTAAATGTGCGTAGTTCCTTTTTTGCTTGAAATATTTTGTTCTAAAAATTTTATCATGTTTTAGAAAATTTTTTAAAAAATGGTGGTGCAGATTGATATATTGTGTTTTTTCACGCTTTAATTGTATTTTTTGCTCTCTTGATGTGATAAATAATAGATAATGATTTAATCCACCTTATTAATTGGAAAATTTTTGTTCTAAAAGTTTCACTATGTCGTAAAAAAATGGAGATATAGTGGTGGTATAGATGGATATATTATATTTTTTTCTTAAAAATGAACCACATCTTCTGCTCATCTGATGTGAGAAACAATAGATTATGATGTCATGCACCTTATTAGTCCGAAAATTTCTATTCTAAAAGTTTTACCTTGTTTTAAAAACATAGTGGTGTAATGATGGCAAAATAGTGGTATAGATAGATATATTGTGTTTCTCCTCACAGATGAATTCCATTTTCTGCTCTTCTGGTGTGAGAAATAATAGATTATAATGTTATGCATTTTTCTTTTTTGGAAAATTATGTTCTAGAAGTTTTACCATGTGATGCGGGGTTTAGGCCATGTGATGCGGGGTTTAGGAGGCCAGTTCGCTAAACCGGCTGGCAGATGGACCGGTAGAATCGGCCCAATGATTGTTGGTTTAGCTCCCTACTTGATCGAGGTACAATTAGAAGGGGTTACACTACCTCCAGCCCTTTCTCCCTTTCCTTTTATGTCTTCCACATGTTTGGACTCATTTTATTTGCTATTTGAGAGAATTAGGGTTATTTTTTGTTTTCATTGTTGTTTCAAATTCCCCTTCTCTCTTGCTAGAGCTTTATCCGACAATAGGTGGTGCTTCAGCTGTATCTTGCTCTGAGGTGGTGTTGTGTCCTCTCATATTCTTCTCCCTAGCCCTTCTCCTTCCCCTCCCTTAGCTGCCGACTACCCATATTCCTTCCTGTTGGCCTACCGCCCCTTTCCTTGCAACTGTGCTTGTTGTCCAACCCATGCAACCGCCAATCAACATTTGTCGCCTCTTTACCTATAGCAGTTCGTGGTGTCCGCCTATCTAGCCATCACCCTGCTTTCAGCCGACCCTTACCGGAAGCCTTCCTTGCCGCGTCACTCCTCCAGCCCTCGAATTGCCTGCTAAATCCCTTCCCAATCTACCGTATAACCACCAACACTTCCCCTTCCCCTTGCCGCTTCGCCGATGCCATCACTGCCCTCAGATCCTCTCGTCCGACCCTAGTTAGAGGTTGTTATTGTGTTGTATTTCCTTTTTGAGCTGTGTTGTAACCCAAATCCATTTGTTGAATAAAATTTGCTTATCGTTTTCGTTGTTTTAAACTAGTTCTGGTATCATTTGGTATCAGAGATAGTCTAATCCTAGTCTTATTCTAGAGTTTCATAGCATCCATCATAACCCAAAAAAATTTCTTTGTCATACGAAATAACCTTTCCACTTCCACAAATCCCAAACCCTAACCATGCCACCAATGAGATATATGCCTGAGCATACATAGGAAAAGATATGGCGAGAGCTCCATTGTCTTCAACAAAGGCTTGTTGAGATTTATGAGATAACCCAGGGAAGGTTACCTTCGACCGAGATTTGAAGAGTCAAAGGGAAGAAAAAGAGGAAGATATGAATCACTTTCATAGGTAGAATTACTACAATGAAGAAAATAAATCAAAGCGTTTTGGAATCTAGTACTTGAGGAGGGCTAGAGAGGGGTATCTGAATCTCCATAGATAGAATTTCAAAGTTGAGATATCATTTGGAGGGCACAAAGACATCGAAATTGAAGTGGACCTGCTAGAGGTTGATGGAGGTATGGATCTAGAAGACTTTATTGATTTGTTGCAATCTATTAAACATATCTTCGAGTATAAGGATGTGCCAGAGGATTAGTAGGTCAACTTTGATGCTATCAAGTTGAAGAAGAGTGTCTCTTTGTGGTGAGAGAACTTGAACAGACAGAAAAAGTGAACACAACGATAATATTACCAATTGGCAGAAAGTGAAGAAAGCGATGCTGATTAAATACCTACCACCCCATTACCGTTGGGGATCTTTCAGTAGATGAGTTTACAACGCAGTTTGATCAGTTATATATGCGATGTGATTTGGTCAAGCCAAAGAAGCATATCATAGCTCGTTATTTGGGGGGCTTGAAGCTTGTTATTTGCAACGTGGTGCAGCTGCAGCCGTATTCCTCTTTGGGAGTTTTCTAGACATTACCATCACCAGTCAGACAGCCACCCACAATTGGAGGTAAAATTATTGCATCCGTCCAACGCACGCAGAGATGCGTGCGGTGGGCCAATAAAAACTTCTCATTTACCAAAAAGTGTATGTCAGTGGGCCCACTTTTAAAATATTTTTTTAAAATTTCATTGGACGGCGCACGCGAGATGCGTGCTTCGTCCGCACGCAATAATCCCTCTAGTTGGAGACACCAACAAGAGCACACCTTAGGGAGGTGAGAAAGCTGATTCAGATAAGGATAAAGCCGCCCCCACTGAAAAAAAGCATGAGAAGAGTAGCACGCCTGCTATAGTCCTAGAAAATGTTTCAAATGCCACAAATTTGGGCACATTGCCTCCAGCTGCCCGACGAGCTGGGTCGTATCTTTTTTTGAGTAGAAAGCCGCTAAAGAGGTTAGCGATGAGGAGGAAGTTGAGGAATAGGTTAAGATGTATCGTCTGCCTCCAGATGAGATTTAATGAATGTTATAGGCTGAGGATACGAGGGATCCACAATGGCTTCGTCATAATATCTTCTATACCTATTGTACGGTGAAAGAAAAGGGATGCAGTCTCATTATCAATGAGGGACAGTAAGAATGTGACATCTATGCAGATGGTGGAAAAGATGGGTCTAGTGACTCAGGCACTTCCAATCATATTCTTTGATGTGGATGAAGTAGAAAAACGTCAACATCGCGGGAGATGCCTAATGGAGTAGATCGGGAGCCAGCTACAAGATCGGGTGTTGTGTGATGTGGCCCTGATGGATGTTTGTTACTTTTTTTTGGGGAGACCATGATAATTTGACAGGAGAACTCAACACAATAGATTTATCAACTCATATTCTTTCACCAAGGATGGGAAGCA